CTGGGCCAGGCTGGGGTGTGTTGGGTTCTGTGGGGCTGGGTGTGGGGCTGGACTGGGCTTGGGTGTGTTGGGTTCAGCTGGGGTGTGTTGGGTTCGGCTGGGCTGGGCTGGACTAGGCTGGGGTGTGTTGGGTTCTGTGGCGATGGGTGTGGGGCTGGACTGGGTTGGGTTCTGTGGGGATGGGTGTGGGGCTGGGTGTGGGGCTAGACTGGGTTGGGTTCTGTGGGGGTGGGTTGGGTATGGGGCTGGGCTGGGTTGTGGTGCGTTAGGATTGGCTGGACAGGAGTGGGTGTGGGGCTGGGCCAGTCAGTCGTCAGTCGGGGCCTCGGTCCTGTCTGGCAGGAAGTGATGTCACGGACATGCTAACCTGCGGCCTGTGTCAGCCTGCCAGGTGTGTTCCCCGAGTCGCCTCGCTGGCTCCTGCTCTCCAGCCCGGAGCAGACAGACCTGCACTCCTTCCGCGAGCAGAGGGAGAGGGAGAGAGAGGAGGACGGCTTCACAGGTGCGTGCGTTTGCATGTGCGCGTGTGCCCAGGTTGGCGAGGCAGTGTTGTGTGTTGTGTGTTGGCAGAGGAGTACTTATGTATTCTGGACTGTTGCTGTACATTCCTGTTGTGTGCTGTTGTGATTTCGTACTTCACCACAGTTGTAGCCTGTGGCTGTGCCTGATCTGTATTGTTAAAGTGCTACACAGTGACACTTGGTGTATTACAGTGTTGTGCTGCTGTGTCGACAGAGCTGCTGTTGTAGCTCCCGTTGTGTAGAGTAGAGAGACTTGCGAAGCAGTGTTGGCCGTCCCCTGTGTGTAACTGTCCTGTGTGTTGACAGAGCTGGACTCGGTGAGCTTGTACAGGCCCCACTCTACTGCCTCCTGGCTGTCGCTCCCTGAACTGCTGCACTGCAGGAACATCTGGAAGAACCTTTGTGTGCTGGGTTTCACTTCGTGAGTATAACCTCTGTATGTCTGTATGAACCCCTCTCCCTCAGTGCAGTGTTAATGTACTGGAGTGTCCAGTCAGT